TCAGGGCAGACACAGAATTGTTACTCAGGGACACAGAATTGTTACTGAGGGCCACAGAACCGTTACTTAGGGCCACAGAATTGTTACTCAGGGACACAGAATTGTTACTCAGGGCACAGAATTGTTACTGAGGGACACAGAATTGTTACTGAGGGACACAGAATTGTTACTTAGGGCCACAGAATTGTTACTGAGGGACACACAGAATTGTTACTGAGGGACACAGAATTGTTACTGAGGGCCACAGAATTGTTACTTAGGGCCACAGAATTGTTACTCAGGGACAGACACAGAATTGTTACTCAGGGACACAGAATTGTTACTCAGGGACACAGAATCGTTGAATTAAAGAGTATGTCAGACAACATGCAGAGGAGTGGCAGAGGAGGCAATGTTTTAGGAGCGAGCAGACGTGGCAGCAGAGGAAGGGGTCGAGGCAGCACTAGTCGCAGCCAGAGGCCAGTGCTCCCGGTGTCATCCAGCGGTCGTGTCTCCACCGACAACCCTGCCGTCATCGATTGGTTGGCTCGGTCGTCTTCCTCTTCCCAGGTCACCTCTGACACCTACAGCCAACGGTCGGTGTGTACGTCAGACACAACCGTTAGTTGGCATGGCCCGGGAGCAAGCCCACTGAAATCACGTGTCCTCTACCTGCCCCTGTCCTTTGCTGTTCCCTCACCAAGCGAAGTATCGCATGCTGTGGGCTCAGCCCCACTGTACAGTGAGGAAGAGCTAACAGAGGGCGGTCAGGAACGGGGGGAGACATCCGCCTTTTCAGCAGCCAGGCGAAGAAGTACTGGCGAGGAGAGTGGCTCGGTAGCCGGTCTAGAGACAGGTCTGTCTCCTGACCCAGACGCAGCCGAGGGGGCTAGTAGTGAGGCGGAGACCCTACTTGATGATGAGGAGGTTGATCGCACTTGGCAGCCTCGTCGTCATCAGGCAATTTCTTCCGCATCATCAGGAGAAGAGGGTGCCAGCTTGGCAGCGAGCGAAACAGTCGGTGGGTTGCCCAGGAGGCAGCAGGGTCGCAGCAGTGTCAGTGGAGCCAAACGGCCACGGAGTAGAGCACCAGCTCCACTGCAGCCTACCACCACGGCCAGTAGTGGTGCCGGTGTGCACGGAGGAAGTAGCAGTCAGCCAGTGAGGAGTAGCGGGGGCAAAGTTTCCTACTCGGCGGTGTGGCAATTTTTCGTCAAGCCGCCCGAGGAAGTAAACGTAGCCGTATGTCGACTATGTGGCCAGAAAGTCAAGCGTGGCCAGGGGGCCCATGTTGGGACTACAGCGTTGCGTCAGCATGCAGCGTCGCCATTTGGTGGCCTGGGAAAACCGTGATAAAGATACGGCGGTTCTGCCTGCCCCAGCCCCCGCTCCATCACCCGCTCCGTTTACTTGCTCCGTCACCCGACGTCAATCGCCCTCTATCAGCCAGTCAAGGCTCCAACACCTCTGCTGAGGGGAGTTGTCGCTCGTTGGCATCTTCCGCTCGTTCAGATGCTCCTTCTCCTGCTACTCCTCTTCACGGATTCCGTCAGCAGTCTTTTCTTGGAATCCGTTTCCAAGAGACAACAGTTTGCGAGCACGCACCCGACGGTGCAAAAGCTGAACGTCCTCCTGTCCAAGTTGCTGGTGCTGCAGTCCCTCCCTTTCCAACTGGTGGACTCAGCACCTTTCCGAGAAATGATGGCTTGTGCCGCGCCGCGGTGGAGAGTGCCAAGCCGTCATTTCTTCGCCAAAAAGGCAGTGCCAGCCCTGCATTCACATGTAGAAGAGATGGTGGCCAGTCTTTGAGCATGTCGGTCTCTGCCAAAGTGCACGGCAGCGCCGACGTGTGGAGCTGTAACTACGGTCAGGGACAGTACATGTCATTTACGGCCCACTGGGTGAACGTGGTGCCGGCACAGCCGCACCAGCAACTTGGACAGGTCACGACGCTTTTGCCTCCACGTTTGCACGTCCTTGGTCCAGCAAAATGTCCGCCTCTACCACCTCTTCTTCCGCCGTGTCCTCAGCCGCCACCCCCGTGCCAAGTCCCATTACCCGACCGGCATATCACATGTGCAGGGCGCAACGGTGTCACGCTGTGCTGCACCTGGTATGCCTTGGCGAACGTAGTCACACAGGGGAGGAACTTCTGAGTGTAATGAACAGAGAAATCGACAGATGGCTGTCTCCGCGCAAACTGAAAATCGGAACCATGTTGACCGACAACGGAAAGAACATGGTGTCTGCTCTGCGTCAAGGAAGGTTGTGCCATGCGCCATGCATGGCTCACGTGTTCAATCTGGTTGTCAAGCGGTTCCTAAAATCCACCATCCCACTGCAAGACATCCTTAAAATGTCACGTAAACTTTGCATGCATTTCAGCCATTCCTACACCGCAAAGCACACCCTCCTTGAGCTGCAGCGGCAGAACGGAATTCCACAGCATCGCCTGATCTGCGACGTTGCAACAAGGTGGAATTCAACCCTACACATGTTAGACCGCCTTTACGAGCAGCGAAAGGCCATCACCGATTTCCTGATGTTACAAGCGGATAAAGGTACTCCCCTGTGTAACTTCGATGTCAGCCATTGGCAGCTCATGCGTGACACCTGCCGCTTGCTCAGGCCCTTTGAGGAGGCCACGCTATTCGTGAGTCGGCAGGACTATGGGATGAACGACGTCATTCCTCTGTTGCACGTCCTGGAACAAATGCTGTTAACAATGGCTGGTCAGGGTGCGGTAGACGTGGCGCACAGATCTCAACGCCAACGCCATGACCCCTGTGGGGGCAGGACAGGAAGAAGAGGAGGAGGTAGAGGAGGACATTTGTGCTCAGGAATTATTGAGTGAAATGGGTGGTTTTTCCACTCAGCGGACAGGAGTGGAGGAGCAGGAGCATCTGGTAGAGGAGGAGGAGGAGGAGGAGACAGAGGACCCAGACGCACCGTGGCAGTATGCTGTGGAGATGGAGGCAGGGAGTCCCTCGCATTCCTTGGCACAAATGGCCCATAGCATGCTCGGTTGCTTGCGTAGCGACAGCCGAATAATAACCATCAGACAGAGGGATGACTTTTGGCTGTCCACCTTGTTGGACCCTCGCGCTACCGTTCCAAAATGGTGGCCTTTTTCACACCTGCTGAGAGGGAGGCCAAAATTACGTACTATAAAAAAAACCACCTATGTAGTCAGTTGGTCTCTGCCTTTCTGCGCCAACGTCCATCCTCAGACACTGTGGGCCCTGTGCGCTCGCGTTCCGCTGCCATGGCAGCAGGGGAGGGGGGTGGGGTGGTAGGAGCAGTGGCAGCTCCACCAGCAGCGGCTGCCTCAGTCTGCAGTCGATGATGAGTAGCTTTCTTCACCAGCGCAGTGAGGAAACTACTAACCAGCCGCAGCAGCAGCAGCAGCAGCATCAGGTGGACCTGGAGCAGGAGCTCAAACAACAGGCTTGGGCCTACTTTGGACAGCACCCTGCCAACCGAGGTAGACAATCCCCTTGACTACTGGGCAACGAAACTTGACCTTTGGCCCCAACTAGCTGAATTTGCCCTTGAAAGGCTGTCATGCCCGGCCAGTAGCGTGGCATCGGAGCGCGTGTTTAGTGCGGCAGGAGGTATTGTAACTCCGCGGAGGAGGACACGACTGTCCACCCAAAGTGTGGAGAGACTCACGTTTGTGAAAATGAATCAGGCGTGGATTAGTCTGGATTTCAAACCACCAGTTCCTGACACAACTGACTAAATCCGCCATGAATCATGCCCCAAAACATGTGCCACTTGAGGTCTCCTCAGGTCTCCGCACACTGCTGCTGGGTTCCATTTTGTCATAGGGTGCTGGCAGATTACGGGCCTCCCATAGCTGCTGCCAGGCCCCTAATCTGCCATGGGCCCCCGTACCGCCTCCTCACGCTGCTGCTGCCAGGTCCACAGTGTCTCATGCCATGCCACTTTCAGGTCTCCTCACACTGCTGCTGTGTTCATTTTGTCATAGGGTGCTGGCAGATTACGGGCCCTCCCATAGCTGCTGCCAGGCCCCTAATCTGCCATGGGCCCCTGTACCGCCTCCTCACGCTGCTGCCAGGTCCACAGTGTGTCATGCCATGTGCCACTTTCAGGTCTCCTCACACTGCTGGTGTGTTTCATGTCTCCATGCTGGCAGATTACGGGCCTCATTTTGTCATAGGGTGCTGGCAGATTACGGGCCTCCCATAGCTGCTGCCAGGCCCCTAATCTGCCATGGGCCCCTGTACCGCCTCCTCACGCTGCTGCTGCCAAGGTCCACAGTGTGTCATGCCATGTGCCACTTTCAGTCTCCTCACACTGCTGGTGTGTTTCATTTTGTCATAGGGTGCTGGCAGATTACGGGCCTCCCATGCTGCTGCCAGGCCCCTAATCTGCCATGGGCCCTGTACCGCCTCCTCACGCTGCTGCTGCAGGTCCACAGTGTGTCATGCCATGTGCCATTTCAGGTCTCCTCACACACTGCCATGGTGCCACTTTCAGGTCTCCTCACACTGCTGCTGCTGTGTGTTTCATTTTGTCATAGGGTGCTGGCAGATTACGGGCCTCCCATAGCTGCTGCCAGGCCCCTAATCTGCCATGGGCCCCTATACCGCCTCCTCACGCCGCTGCTCCACAGTGTGTCATGCCCTGTACGGGTCCCAGTGTGTCATGCTCTGCCATGTGCCACTTTCAGGTCTCCTCACACTGCTGGTGTGTTTCCATTTTGTCATAGGATGCTGGCAGATTACGGGCCTCACATTGCTGCTGCCAGGCCCCTAATCTAATCTGCCATGGGCCCCCTGTACCGCCTCGTCACGCTGCTGCTGGGTCCACAGTGTGTCATGGGTCCCTGTACCCCTCCCATCTGCTGTCTCCATCGCCACACTCTGCCATGTGCCACTTTCAGGTCTCCTCACACTGCTGCTGGTTTTCATTTTGTCATAGGTTGCTGGCAGATTACAGGCCTCCCATAGGTGCTGCCAGGCCCCAAATCTGCCATGGGCCCCCGTACCGCCTCCTCACGCTGCTGCTGGGTCCACAGTGTGACATGGGTCCCTGTACCGCCTCCCATTGCTGCTGTTTCCATCACCACACTCTGCCATGTGCCACTTTCAGGTCTCCTCACACTCCTGCTGGTTTCCATTTTGTCATAGGTTGCTGGCAGATTACAGGCCTCCCATAGGTGCTGCCCAGGCCCCCAAATCTGCCATGGGCCCCCGTACCGCCTGGTCACGCTGCTGCTGGGTCCACAGTGTGACATGGGTCCCTGTACCGCCTCCCATTGCTGCTGTTTCCATCCCACACTCTGCCATGTGCCACTTTCAGGTCTCCTCACACTCCTGCTGGTTTCCATTTTGTCATAGGTTGCTGGCAGATTACAGGCCTCCCATAGGTGCTGCCAGGCCCCAAATCTGCCATGGGCCCCCGTACCGCCTGGTCACGCTGCTGCTGCTGGGTCCACAGTGTGTCATGGGTCCCTGTACCGCCTCCCATTGCTGCTGTTGTCCCATCACACTCTGCCATGTGCCACTTTCAGGTCTCCTCACACTCCTGCTGGTTTCCATTTTGTCATAGGTTGCTGGCAGATTACAGGCCTCCCATAGGTGCTGCCAGGCCCCAAATCTGCCATGGGCCCCCCTACCGCCTGGTCACGCTGCTGCTGGGTCCACAGTGTGTCATGGGTCCCTGTACCCAGTGTCCCATTGCTGCCTCCCATGCCTTCCATCTGCACACTCTGCCATGTGCCACTTGTGCCACTTTCAGGTCTCCTCACACTCCTGCTGGTTTCCATTTTGTCATAGGTTGCTGGCAGATTACAGGCCTCCCATAGGTGCTGCCAGGCCCCCAATCTGCCATGGGCCCCCGTACCGCCTGGTCACGCTGCTGCTGGGTCCACAGTGTGACATGGGTCCCTGTACCGCCTCCCATTGCTGCTGTCCCATCTGCCACACTGCCATGTGCCACTTTCAGGTCTCCTCACACTCCTGCTGGTTTTTTCCATTTTGTCATAGGTTGCTGGCAGATTACAGGCCTCCCATAGGTGCTGCCAGGCCCCAAATCTGCCATGGGCCCCCGTACCGCCTGGTCACGCTGCTGCTGGGTCCACAGTGTGACATGGGTCCCTGTACCGCCTCCCATTGCTGCTGTTTCCATCACCACACTCTGCCATGTGCCACTTTCAGGTCTCCTCACACTCCTGCTGGTTTTTTCCATTTTGTCATAGGTTGCTGGCAGATTACAGGCCTCCCATAGGTGCTGCCAGGCCCCAAATCTGCCATGGGCCCCCGTACCGCCTGGTCACGCTGCTGCTGGGTCCACAGTGTGTGTCATGGGTCCCTGTACCCCTGCCTCCCATTGCTGCTGTTTCCATCCCACTCTCTGCCATGTGCCACTTTCAGGTCTCCTCACACTCCTGCTGGTTTCCATTTTGTCATAGGTTGCTGGCAGATTACAGGCCTCCCATAGGTGCTGCCAGGCCCCAAATCTGCCATGGGCCCCCGTACCGCCTGGTCACGCTGCTGCTGGGTCCACAGTGTGACATGGGTCCCTGTACCGCCTCCCATTGCTCTGTTTCCATCACTCTGCCATGTGCCACTTTCAGGTCTCCTCACACTCCTGCTGGTTTCCATTTTGTCATAGGTTGCTGGCAGATTACAGGCCTCCCATAGGTGCTGCCAGGCCCCAAATCTGCCATGGGCCCCCGTACCGCCTGGTCACGCTGCTGCTGGGGGTCCACAGTGTGACATGGGTCCCTGTACCGCCTCCCATTGCTGCTGTTTCCATCTCCCACACTCTGCCATGTGCCACTTTCAGGTCTCCTCACACTCCTGCTGGTTTCCATTTTGTCATAGGTTGCTGGCAGATTACAGGCCTCCCATTGCTGCCAGGCCCCAAATCTGCCATGGGCCCCCGTACCGCCTGGTCACGCTGCTGCTGGGTCCACAGTGTGTGTCATGGGTCCCTGTACCGCCTCCCATTGCCATTGCTCCCACACTCTGCCATGTGCCACTTTCAGGTCTCCTCACACTCCTGCTGGTTTCCATTTTGTCATAGGTTGCTGGCAGATTACAGGCCTCCCATAGGTGCTGCCAGGCCCCAAATCTGCCATGGGCCCCCGTACCGCCTCGGGTCACGCTGCTGCTGGGTCCACAGTGTGACATGGGTCCCTGTACCGCCTCCCATTGCTGCCCACCACACTCTGCCATGTGCCACTTTCAGGTCTCCTCACACTCCTGCTGGTTTCCATTTTGTCATAGGTTGCTGGCAGATTACAGGCCTCCCATAGGTGCTGCCAGGCCCCAAATCTGCCATGGGCCCCCCGTACCGCCTCCTGGTCACGCTGCTGCTGGGTCCACAGTGTGACATGGGTCCCTGTACCGCCTCCCATTGCTGCTCCATCACCACACTCTGCCATGTGCCACTTTCAGGTCTCCTCACACTCCTGCTGGTTTCCATTTTGTCATAGGTTGCTGGCAGATTACAGGCCTCCCATAGGTGCTGCCAGGCCCCAAATCTGCCATGGGCCCCCGTACCGCCTGGTCACGCTGCTGCTGGGTCCACAGTGTGTCATGGGTCCCTGTACCGCCTCCCCCATTGCTCTGTTTCCACTCTGCCATGTGCCACTTTCAGGTCTCCTCACACTCCTCCTGCTGGTTTTCCATTTTGTCATAGGTTGCTGGCAGATTACAGGCCTCCCATAGGTGCTGCCAGGCCCCAAATCTGCCATGGGCCCCCGTACCGCCTGGTCACGCTGCTGCTGCTGGGTCCACAGTGTGACATGGGTCCCTGTACCGCCTCCCATTGCTGCTGTTTCCATCTGCCACACTCTGCCATGTGCCACTTTCAGGTCTCCTCACACTCCTGCTGGTTTCCATTTTGTCATAGGTTGCTGGCAGATTACAGGCCTCCCATAGGTGCTGCCAGGCCCCAAATCTGCCATGGGCCCCCGTACCGCCTGGTCACGCTGCTGCTGGGTCCACAGTGTGTCATGGGTCCCTGTACCGCCCTCCCATTGCTGCTGTTTCCATCTCACTCTCTGCCATGTGCCACTTTCAGGTCTCCTCACACTCCTGCTGGTTTCCATTTTGTCATAGGTTGCTGGCAGATTACAGGCCTCCCATAGGTGCTGCCAGGCCCCAAATCTGCCATGGGCCCCCGTACCGCCTGGTCACGCTGCTGCTGGGTCCACAGTGTGTCATGGGTCCCTGTACCGCCTCCCATTGCTCCCACTCTGCCATGTGCCACTTTCAGGTCTCCTCACACTCCTGCTGGTTTCCATTTTGTCATAGGTTGCTGGCAGATTACAGGCCTCCCATAGGTGCTGCCAGGCCCCCCCAAATCTGCCATGGGCCCCCGTACCGCCTGGTCACGCTGCTGCTGGGGGTCCACAGTGTGACATGGGTCCCTGTACCGCCTCCCATTGCTCTGTTTCCATCGCTCTCTGCCATGTGCCACTTTCAGGTCTCCTCACACTCCTGCTGGTTTCCATTTTGTCATAGGTTGCTGGCAGATTACAGGCCTCCCATAGGTGCTGCCAGGCCCCAAATCTGCCATGGGCCCCCGTACCGCCTGGTCACGCTGCTGCTGGGTCCACAGTGTGACATGGGTCCCTGTACCGCCTCCCATTGCTGCTGTTTCCATCCCACACTCTGCCATGTGCCACTTTCAGGGTCTCCTCACACTCCTGCTGGTTTCCATTTTGTCATAGGTTGCTGGCAGATTACAGGCCTCCCATAGGTGCTGCTGCCAGGCCCCAAATCTGCCATGGGCCCCCGTACCGCCTGGTCACGCTGCTGCTGCTGGGTCCACAGTGTGACATGGGTCCCTGTACCGCCTCCCATTGCTGCTGTTTCCATCTCCACACTCTGCCATGTGCCACTTTCAGGGTCTCCTCACACTCCTGCTGGTTTCCATTTTGTCATAGGTTGCTGGCAGATTACAGGCCTCCCATAGGTGCTGCCAGGCCCCAAATCTGCCATGGGCCCCCGTACCGCCTGGTCACGCTGCTGCTGCTGGGTCCACAGTGTGACATGGGTCCCTGTACCGCCTCCCATTGCTCCCATTGCTCACACTCTGCCATGTGCCACTTTCAGGTCTCCTCACACTCCTGCTGGTTTCCATTTTGTCATAGGTTGCTGGCAGATTACAGGCCTCCCATAGGTGCTGCCAGGCCCCAAATCTGCCATGGGCCCCCGTACCGCCTGGTCACGCTGCTGCTGGGTCCACAGTGTGACATGGGTCCCTGTACCCTCCCATTGCTCCCACTCTGCCATGTGCCACTTTCAGGTCTCCTCACACTCCTGCTGGTTTCCATTTTGTCATAGGTTGCTGGCAGATTACAGGCCTCCCATAGGTGCTGCCAGGCCCCAAATCTGCCATGGGCCCCCGTACCGCCTGGTCACTGCTGCTGGGTCCACAGTGTGACATGGGTCCCTGTACCGCCTCCCATTGCTGCTGTTTCCATCACCACTCTGCCATGTGCCACTTTCAGGTCTCCTCACACTCCTGCTGGTTTCCATTTTGTCATAGGTTGCTGGCAGATTACAGGCCTCCCATAGCTGCCAGGCCCCAAATCTGCCATGGGCCCCCGTACCGCCTGGTCACGCTGCTGCTGGGGTCCACAGTGTGTCATGGGTCCCTGTACCGCCTCCCATTGCTGCTGTTTCCATCCCACACTCTGCCATGTGCCACTTTCAGGTCTCCTCACACTCCTGCTGGTTTCCATTTTGTCATAGGTTGCTGGCAGATTACAGGCCTCCCATAGGTGCTGCCAGGCCCCAAATCTGCCATGGGCCCCCGTACCGCCTGGTCACGCTGCTGCTGCTGGGTCCACAGTGTGACATGGGTCCCTGTACCCCTCCCATTGCTGCTGTTTCCATCTGCCACACTCTATGTGCCACTTTCAGGTCTCCTCACACTCCTGCTGGTTTCCATTTTGTCATAGGTTGCTGGCAGATTACAGGCCTCCCATAGGTGCTGCCAGGCCCCAAATCTGCCATGGGCCCCCGTACCGCCTGGTCACGCTGCTGCTGCTGGGTCCACAGTGTGACATGGGTCCCTGTACCGCCTCCCATTGCTCCCACTCTGCCATGTGCCATGTGCCACTTTCAGGTCTCCTCACACTCCTGCTGGTTTCCATTTTGTCATAGGTTGCTGGCAGATTACAGGCCTCCCATAGGTGCTGCCAGGCCCCAAATCTGCCATGGGCCCCCGTACCGCCTGGTCACGCTGCTGCTGGGTCCACAGTGTGACATGGGTCCCTGTACCGCCTCCCATTGCTCCCCACTCTGCCATGTGCCACTTTCAGGTCTCCTCACACTCCTGCTGGTTTCCATTTTGTCATAGGTTGCTGGCAGATTACAGGCCTCCCATAGGTGCTGCCAGGCCCCAAATCTGCATGGGCCCCCGTACCGCCTCGGTCACGCTGCTGCTGGGTCCACAGTGTGACATGGGTCCCTGTACCGCCTCCCATTGCTGCTGTGTTTCCATCACCACACTCTGCCATGTGCCACTTTCAGGTCTCCTCACACTCCTGCTGGTTTCCATTTTGTCATAGGTTGCTGGCAGATTACAGGCCTCCCATAGGTGCTGCCAGGCCCCAAATCTGCCATGGGCCCCCGTACCGCCTGGTCACGCTGCTGCTGGGTCCACAGTGTGTGACATGGGTCCCTGTACCGCCTCCCATTGCTCCATCACCACACTCTGCCATGTGCCACTTTCAGGTCTCCTCACACTCCTGCTGGTTTCCATTTTGTCATAGGTTGCTGGCAGATTACAGGCCTCCCATAGGTGCTGCCAGGCCCCAAATCTGCCATGGGCCCCCGTACCGCCTGGTCACGCTGCTGCTGGGTCCACAGTGTGACATGGGTCCCTGTACCGCCCCTTGCTCCCACTCTGCCATGTGCCACTTTCAGGTCTCCTCACACTCCTGCTGGTTTCCATTTTGTCATAGGTTGCTGGCAGATTACAGGCCTCCCATAGGTGCTGCCAGGCCCCAAATCTGCCATGGGCCCCCGTACCGCCTGGTCACGCTGCTGCTGGGTCCACAGTGTGACATGGGTCCCTGTACCGCCTCCCATTGCTCCCACTCTGCCATGTCTGAAGCCTGGAAACACCCCTTTTTTAAGTTAAATTCACAGCGAATATATTCGACTCGAATCAAATATTTTCCACGAATTCGCCGAATCAGTCGAATCGAATTTTTGAATACTTCGCTCATCTCTAGTAACAGTAGTGCAGAGGATGGTAACAGTTACTAAGGAAAAAGATGGTGACAGTTACTAAAGCAGAGGATGGTGACAGTTAGTAAAATGGGGACAGTTAGTAAGGCAATGGATGGTGATGGTTAGTAAGGTAGTGGGTGGTGACAGTAGTGTAAAAGATGGTAACAGTTAGTAATGCAGAGGATGGTGACAGTTACTAAGGCAGAGGATGGTGACAGTAAGGTAGTGGGTGGTGACAGTAGTGCAGAGGATGGTAACAGTTAGTAGTGCAGAGGATGGTAACAGTTACTAAGGCAAAAGATGGTGACAGTTTGTAGTGCAAAGGATAATAATGCAGGCCATACATAGTTCGAATTCCGAATGATTTTTCATCGGAAATGTCGTTCGCTCGGTAATCCGATAGTGCCATTAGTGATTTCAAAAATCATCCAACCAAGTCATAAAGTTCACCCCATATAACAGGCAAAACTTTTGTTCCTCACAGGTCACAGCTCATACGCATATTCTTTTCAGAAAAAACGATCCTACAGTTTGACCATCATTGAGTCGAAAATTGGTAGTTTTTCAAGAATTTTCCAACATGCCCGATCACCGAAAAGGGGAGGAACCACGAAAATCGGCCGGTGCCATTGACCCACTAACAGAGCGAAAATCTGCTGATTATTCTTAGGTCTGATTTTCAGGCTAAAAATCGGTCGAATTTCGACCGATGCCGGTCTAACAGTAGTGCAGAGGATGGTGACAGTTAGTAAGGCAGAGGATGGTGACAGTTTGTAGTGCAAAGGATGATGACAGTTAGTAAGGTAGTGGATGGTGATAGTTAAAAGTGAAGAGAATGGTGACAGTAGTGCAAAGGATGGTGACAGTTAGTAAGGCAGCGGAAGGTGACAGTAAGGCAGTGGATAGTGACAGCTAGTAGTGCAAAGGATGGTGACAGTTAGTTAGGCAGTGGATGGTGACAGTTAGTAGTGCAGAGGATGGTGACAGTTAGTAATGCAAGGCCGGAGACAGTAAGGCAGAGGATGGTGACAGTTAGTAAAATGGTGACAGTTAGTAAGGCAGAGGATGGGGACAGTTAGTAAGGCAGAGGATGGTGACAGTAAGGTAGTGGGTGGTGACAGTAGTGCAAAGGATGGTAAAAGTTAGTAGTGCAGAGAATGGTGACAGTAAGATAGAGGATGGTGACAGTTCGAAAGGTAGTGGAGTGATGGTGACAGTTGGTAGTGCAGAGGATGGTGACAGTAAGTAAGGCAGTGGATAGTGACAATTAGTAGCGCAGAGGATGGTGACAGTTAGTAGAGCAAGGCCGGAGACAGTTAGTAAGGCAGAGGATGGTGACAGTTAGTAAGGTAGTGGGTGGTGACAGTAGTGCAATGGATGGTAATAGTTAGTAGTCCAGAGAATGGTGACAGTAAGACAGAGGATGGTGACAGCTAGTAAGACAGAGGATGGTGACAGTTAGAAAGATAGTGGATGGTGACAGTTA